GTCGGAGGCTTAACCGACTGCGCCACCCAGGCGCCCCTCCTGGACAACTTTAATGCATCCGTGGAATCTGCCACCCTTTCTAACTCTTCCAGACTTGGCCTTGGCAATCTCTACCATTTGGCATTCTGCTCTAAAGTTATAAGCATGTCTCTTTTTTCAGTAGGACAACCAGAGTTTAGGCATGTCTTCATTACTTTCATTCCTAATTGTTGACAGGTCCGTGAAGCCCCAAGTTTCACTTTTTTCCCCCTAATTTCTTGGGTCATCGAAAAATTCTTTGACTCCTTTCCTTGACCAGTGGTGTAATTTACCCCAAAGAAAAGATGTGATATTTGGTGTATTCTTAGGCAACCTGTCGTAACCGAGGAAGTTGTGATGACCGGAAAGTCTCTGGGGTAGCTGCGGATCTTCTGCAAAGAACAGGCAAACTGCTCATCTGCTTCCTGTCTCTGTGGATTTGGTCGTTCTGGACATTCCATGTTAAATGGAATCGTAGAACATGTGGTCCTTTGTGACTGATTTCTGTTGTAGCATGTATCAGTACTGCATTCCTTTCTATTGCCGAATAATATTCCATTGTATGAAAATACCATGTTTTGTTTATCTGTGTACTGGTTGATGGACATTGGGTTATTTGGCTATTCAGAACAATGCTGCTACAAACATTCTAATACACATTTTTGTGTGGATGCAAATTCATTTTATACTTCTTTTTTTCCAGTGTCTTTCTCGAGAAGCAGGTGGAAACATGAGCATTCAGTTTCTTGGCACAGTGGTAAGTATGAAAGAATTATTACTTTGTATAATCATTTAATTTACGGAGAAACAAAAGCATTCAAATAGCTTTAGCCCATGTATTTGAACTTGCCTTCATCATGGTTTTATTTTACTATTAAATGAGGTATCTTTGTATAAGAAAATGCATTCTTTAATGTGTTCGTCACGTTTCCGTGATAGAATAGTTTTAGCTATTTCTTTTTAGAGAGAAAAGGTGTTTTTTTTTTATTATTATTTGAACTTTGTTGAGTATTTCAAGTGCTTTTTTTCTACTGAATATTTTCTCTCTGTTTTTATTATAAAAATAAGAACATATTATTTAAGATGCTTTTGAAAATAGTGACCATGGCTTTTTTCTCTTTAGTTTTCCTTCTAGCTTTCTCTATCAGGTCCTTTCAAGTACACATTTCTAAGGGAACTGAGACATAATTTTGGATCTTGATTTTTTTCACTTAAGATCCTGTTAATCATTTTCCATATTGCTAGAAAATATCAGCATCATTTTACTGGAGCTGTGTTTAACATTCTGATGAGTAGATGTGACATATTTTCTTATCCATGAATCCCAATTGTTAGGTATTTAAGTTACTCCTCGTTTTTGCCATTATGAATGGTGTTCTAATGAACAACTTAATGGGTTTTGCTTTTTTGACATTTTGAATTATTTTCAAGCATGTTCAGAAATGTATGAAATATATCTCATTCTAAATAAAATCATGGCGCGCCCGTGTGGCTCAGTTGGAAAAGCATCTGACTTTGGCTCAGGTCATGATCTCACGGTTTGTGAGTTTGAGTTCCACATTGGGCTCTGTGTTGTCCGTGCAGAGCTTGCTTTGGATTCTCTCTTCCTCTCTGTCTCTCTCTGCCCCTCTCCCACTCATACTCTCCCTCTCTCTCAAAAATAAGCATTAAAATAAAAATTTTAAGTGAATAGAATCAAAACCATGAATAATTTTATGGCTTAGTACACATTATCAGTTACCTCATATCTCTTTAGAATGCCCTTCGTCATTGTCAGCATACCACTTTGCACTCTCACTAGTAGTAGTTATGATTTTTAAAAGCATTGAGCTTTATCTATGGAAAGCAATTTACAGTTACTATTTTTACTTTTAATGTAAAAGTAACGAGCATAATAATCATATCATTAGTAGTATTAGTTATAATTTTCAAAATAATTTAACTGTTAAAAAAGGTAACTTATTTATTTTAATTAGCATTTCTGTTTACTCCTTATGTCTTCAAATGTTTCTCCATGTATTCATTTGCTAGGTATCATTTATAATCCGTAAAATGTCTGTTCATAGTTTTGGGTACCTTATTCAGGTTGTAAATTCACATTGGATAGTTCTGTTTGCCCTGTGAGTTTATTGAGAATATCAGAGGAGAGGCCTGTGGCGTGGATCAAAGGATAAGTGTTTTTGTAGTCATGGAGATAGGAAGGACATTACTAATAATGTGCATTTATAGTTTATATATAGAGACACAGTAAAGTTTACGTATCAAAGCATATGTAGTAGTATATGCATAGGCACTTGACTTATGTTACATAAATTTTAAGTATAGCACCTGCGATTTATAGTTATTTTTTCTGATAAGTTATTTCATGCTTTTGTTTAATTTAAAAATTTAAATATTATTTCAATGCATGTCCTAAGAAATTGTATTCGGGTTCTCCAAAGAAACAGAACCAGGAGTGTGTGTGTGTGTGTGTGTGTGTGTGTGTGTGTGTGTGTGTGTAGAGAGAGGAAGAGGGGTCAAGTCCAAAACCTGCACAGTAGGCCAGGAAATGGTTGGAGTTCAAGTACAAAGACCATGTGCTTGCAGGATTCCTTCTTGCTTGGGAGGTCAGTCCTTTTTCTTCAGTTGATTGAATGTTACCCAACCAGATTATGAGGTGTAATCTGCTTTACTCAAGATCTACTGATTTAAATGTTAATCTAAAAATAACTTCATAGAAACATCTAGAATAATGTTTGGCCAAAAATCTGGATACTGTGGCCTAGCCAAGCTGACACATAAAGTTCACTATCACAGAAGTATACATCCCATCTCTTAGAGTATTTTCATTATTAACAGTAGATATGCAGGCATACCTTGGAGCTGTTGTGGGTTTGGTTCCATAGTACAGCAAGAACGCTTATGTCACAATACAGCGAGTCAAATGAATTTTTTGGTTTCCCAGTACATATAAAAGTTATGTTTACACTATAGAATAGTCTCTTAAGTGTGAAAAGCATTATATTAAAAAAAATGCACAGGGGCGCCTGGGTGGCTCAGTTGGTTAAGCTTCCAACTTTGGCTCAGCTCATAATCTCACGGTTTGTGGGTTTAAGCTCCACGTCAGGCTCTGTGCTGACAGCTCGGAGCCGGGAACCTGCTTTGGATTCTGTGTTTCCCTCTCTCTCTGCGTATTCCCCACTCGTGCTCTGTCTCTCTCTTAAAAAGAAATAAACATTAAAAAAATTTTTTTAAGAATAATTAAAAAACAATGCACGTAACTTAATTTTCAAACACTGTATTCCTAGGGGTTCCTAGCTGGCTCAGACAGAAGAGCTCAGACATGTGACTCTTGATGTCAGGGTTGTAAGTTTGAGCCCCATGCTGGGTGTAGAGATTACTAAAAATGAATAAATAAACTATTTAAAAATAAATAAAAATACTGTATTGCTATAAAATGCTAATCATCATCTGAGCTTTCAGTGAGTTGTAATCACTCACCGATCACAGGTTACAGCAATACAGTAATAATGAAATACAGTCATAATGAAAAAGTTGAAATATTGTAAGACTTATCAAAATGTGACATGGAGACAGGAAGTGAGCAAGTGCTGTTGGAAGAATGGCACTGATAGACTCACTTGATGCGGGGTTGCTACAAACCTTCAGTTTGTGAAAAAAGAAACAGTATCTGCAGCATGCAGTAAACCAAAGCACAATAGAATGAAATACGCCTATATTCTTCCAGAAATAGAATTACACGTCTTCTCATGCAGCAATAACTCATGGGCATCTTTCCTAGAATGTATTCTGTGGAGGTCTTTCTGTACCTCAGTGTTCATGCTGGAAAGGGCACTTTTTCTGTTGCTGCTACTTGATAACTCTCCTTGGATTCTAATCGATTTCTCAGCGCTCACACACAGAACACTGAGCTGTCAACAGGCAAGACCCACAAACAAAACCAAAACATTTCTCTTGCAATTTTTTCCTATCTCGAAAATGGCTACATGAGCTGCCCCAATCCTGACCAAAGCTTTCATCATCTCCTGTCTGAATTACTGCAGTCACCGGTCTTCCCACCTCTGCCTCTGGTCCTTAGACTGTTTTTAATTTAACCATTAGTGTGAGACGTTTGTGTGTGTGTGTGTGTGTGTGTGTGTGTGTGTGTGTGTTTTAGTTTATTTATTTATTTTGAGAGAGAGGGAGTGCGCACATGAGCTGGGGAGAGAGAGGCAGAGGGAGAAAGAGAGAATCCAAGCAGGCTCCACGCTGTCAGCCCAGAGCCTGATGCAGGACTGGATCCCACGGACCGTGAGGTCATGACCTGAGCCGAAACCAAGAGTGGGACACTTATCCAATGGAGCCACCCAGGTGCCCCATTAATGTGATCTTTTGAAATATAAATCCAGTTAGTTGGTCTTGTCACTCTTCTTCAAACATGTTGGGCACACACCTCAGGGTCTCAGCTGCCTTTCCTCTGCCAGGACTGTCTGCCCCCACATACCTGCACGGGAGATTCCCTCACTTTCTTCGGGTCTTTTTACACAGCAGCCACCACCTCAGGGATGGCTTCCGGGTCACACTGTATAAAATTTTGACCACCTTTCCTCCACTTTGTTCTTTTTCTCTAGCAGTTATCACTATTTGACGTACTTTAATGTTTTACTTTTAAAAACTGCTTATGATAAGCCCCATGAGCAGAGGGCTCTGGTCTGTTCTGCTCCCCACTCTCCACCCAGCACTCAGAACAGCACCCTAGTGAACAGTGGGCACCCAGTAAATACTTGTCAAGGAAATTCATGAGATTGACAGGCATGAGACCTAAGGATTAGGCTTAAGAAAGAAATGGGAAGAAAGCAAATACAGAAACAAATGGGGAAATGGAAAAGTGTAGGGGACTTTGGGACCTTAGAGTGAATCCCCCTTCCTCAGACCAGGAACTTGCATCAGAAAAGACAGCTTGTTTTGCCTAAGGTATCACAGCCAGTTGGTACGTAGAGCAGGCAAGCATGCTCGGGTTTTCCGCTGTGCCCAGTGCTCTTCCCATCAGCAAATGCCCTTTACCTCATTTAGTTTCATCCACTCCAGGCACCTAAAACATACGCACGTGCCCCTAAACAGCCACAACCTCCCCAAACATCTGTCCGCGTTGTTTATACAGCTTGTATGGAGAAGGAACGTCAATTTCTAGTGCAGTTTCTAAGCACTCTAAAATTCTGCATCGCCTGGGTTGGGATGACCAGTGTAGTTTGTTTACAATGCATTTTTCTATTAGCAATAATAGACCAGGATGGAAGAGGGAAAGAAAGGGTTTGGAGATAGTGGGACTAATAGGACAGATACAGAGTACTTTCCAGGTCATTTCTAGCTAGGGTGTGCTGCTTTAGTCCTAATTTTCTAAAGCAGAAGCAGGTTCCAAAGCTTGCACTCCAGGAGCAAGAACATTAGCAGGTCACATGGTAAAGGGAGGACTTTCCCAATACACATTTGTCTTTGTTTTGCCTTTGTGAGAATACCTGTGGAATTTTCCATAGAAGTTGGCTTTTGAATATTGATAAACATGACCTTCAGAGTTTAATTTTATGAGTTTTTTAGGAAAAGCTTAATTTTATTTATTTTTTAATGTTTATTTTTGACAGAGAAAGGAGGAGGAAGGAGAGAGAGAGAGAGAAGAGAAGAGAGGCGGAGAGAGGGAGAGACAGAAATTATGAGCAGGGGGTAAGGGCAGAGAGAGAGGGAGTCTGAAGGTCCAAAGTGGGCTCTCCACCGAGAGCAGAG